AAAATTATTTATAAATTCATTGTTTGTGACATGCAAGAGATCATTTTGTTCTGTGACAAATGAGTTACGTAGGTAACTTCTCAGACTCGGGGACACAGGTAGAGGCACCCTACATCTTCTCAGTAGTATAAAACGCATTACTTTGTTCAGCATGGGAATGTTTTTTAAAATGAATGCTCCTGTTGTGATGTCTTCATAATTTATCAAAAAGATTTACATTTCTAGTGCCACAGAGTGTTCTTTGTGCGTTCATTTGTCAGTGGGTATTAATTGGTTGAATCAAGATTTGTTTTTCTGAAATGCATACCATTGAGCTAGATGCTATGGGCGCTTACTCGCTATCTCAAGAATCTCGCTGTAACAGAATATATTGGCAGGGTTGCCATGGCCTTTTTATTGTTCTGGATTTCTGCCAGAATACTATAAATAGTTGAAAAGGCAAGTGGCCTACCATTACTTGCGGGTAGGCTTGCTGAAAGTTGTTGCAGAATGAACAAATAGGCTGTCAGGGTCTTTTTTTTCTTGTTTGGCTTTGTAGTTGCTCAGTGTATATTGCCTAATAAAAGGTATTTTTATGGGCTGTTAGCTTTGCAGTGTTTGGCATATAATATTATAAATATGTGTATGCGTGTACTGTTTTCCATTATTTAGCTTGTGGTAACTCCCATAACAAACTGATTAATTTCAAACACCTGTGGATGCAGTCCCTCACTTTAATCACCCTCTGTTCAGCCATTCTTTTGCTAAAATCTCTGATTCTGATTCAGCATAATTTTTCCCGGTTTCTGATGAGAAGATTCAGATTTGGAGAGGCTAATCAGAAATTTTTATTACTTTTATCTGAAGTTATCTGAAATTGGTAATTGTTTTTCCAGTTCCCTTATCTCTAAGAGGAGGAAGCTAAATTGTACTTGCTTCCACTCCGGTGGCTTTTTTCTGTTACTGGCTAGTAATGTGTCAGCAGCAACATTGCTATGAAGCTAAATCTGCATTATAATCTTCTTTATGCCAGAAATATAGGTCATTATAACTTCAAAAACTTGAAGCAGGTATAATAATAATGAACTCTGAAATAAGCAAGCTACAAGCCAGACCGCAGTTCACTTCCACATACAGAATGGCTTTGATGGTGACAGACTGAAATTTCAGTGGCATCTGCCAGAGAGGAGCAATAGCACTGCCCAGAATGGATGGCAGTGGAGAAGTGCATGAACCCGCAAGGAGATAAAAAATTAGTACCGTAAGCAGTAGGAAAAAAGGCAGATGAATCTTTGAGAACCTTGATTCTGTGACTGCTACGTAACCTGTATACAAAACCGTAATGATATTATGCCATCTGTCCCTCTCACCGACCTGGTAATGCTATTATGTGTATTCTGTCGTTTTGCAAACAGGATAAAATGATCTCATAGTAACTTTATCAGAATTTTTTGTTTTAGCTCTCTTGGGTGCTGATCACCTGCCTCTGGTGCCTTCTGGTGTTCCACATTTACTTCAGTTGCAGACAGATCTTCACCAAGTCTGCTCTTTCCCAGTGTCACTCGCCAGAAAGGCTTTTGTATCAGTTTCCTTCTATAGTGACCCTTAATGCAAATAATCTATTTAGATTTTTTGCAGTACCTCCGACCTTTCTGTATATTCCTTTCATGTGCTGCTGTTTGATTCTACATGCTTTTTGCTCCCAGATAATAACTGATTCCAAAAGATAATTGTTTTTCTAACTGTAATTTGGCCTGCCTGGTTAAAATCTTTGTTACCTGCCTAATTAGAATTTTTTTAAACCAGTGCAGTCTAATTTTGGGATATCCAGATAGCAAGATACAGTATTCACAAGAATGTAAGTCCTGCTCAGTTAATATCTTTATCTAGGGGTGAAGGGAGAGTGAATGTTGAGAAGAAATGTCAACCAAAATGATTGATCTTAGGGCATTTATTTTGTGTGTTTTTTCAGGGCATCTGTTAAAGTAGAACTGCTGTTGATGAGAGTTCTGCAATTGTAACTGAGACACACGTTAGGCCTTATAAAGGTGAACTGTATGGAATAGTTTGTAACATTGTGCATGTCCCACTGCGCATCTGTGTTTATACAGCTGAATTAACTAGGGTTTTTGAGAAAGTTGTGGATATCAGTCTTTGATTAAAGCAGTGCCAACGAGTAGGAAAAAATAGCTTAAGAAAATTGCCTGAGCGAGTATTAGGACATTGTTCCTGTTGGTGATTACCGGCGTGTTAGCGAGCTGCCTGAAGACATGGGAGGACCCTTAACAGGAGCCACCAGCTGTAAGGGTGAAACCCTCATCATAAAGACAGGGCACACTCCAGTGTTGGGGAGATGTCTAGCGTTTCTAGATCTTGCGCTGTAAAAAGAAACAAACAGGAAAGGAATTAAACCAGCGTTTCTAAATTTGGCGCGTAGCCTTTAGGAGAGGGGAGTTTGAGTACTACAGATCGGACATTTCTTTTAAACAGCAAAAGGGCAAGATGAGGGAAATTAAATGCTGTCTTACAGTGCTGTTGGACTTTCACTTAATTGAGTCTGACTTTAACCAGAAAAGTTCTGGATTTAACAGAAACAAGTGCTTTAAATAAATCCTCCTGGTATTAAGCAAAAAAAGCCAGTCACACAGCACAACTAATTCACAGTTGGTTAAATTGAATGTAATCGCTCAATCACCCAGTACTGATCTTTATGACAGAATCTGTCCTAAAATTTTAAGTAAAAGGTTTTTATGATGTGTCTGGTTCACTGATTGTACATAGTAATTAGCATATTGGATGCAAAAAAAGACAACCTTTGATTCAAACTCTGATGCATGATTTCCAGAGGTAATAATTCTTGCAGTACCTGTTGGGGGGGTGGGACTTGGGTATGCTGCTTCTCTCTGCGCCCCCCCCCCCCCCTTTTTTTTTTTTTTTTTTTTTTTTCTCACCATTTTTTTTAAGATTTTCACTGTTCCTTACAGTGACTGTGACTGATGATGTCATTGCTGAAGCACCAGAAAAATTCTAGAAGTGGAAGTTCTAGCCCAGCATGGTCAAAAACCTTGTCAGCGTGCCATAACATACAGCAGGAAGAAATGTTGTATTTCCTCATTTCCTGAGCAAAGTAAATTGGCAGCGCGCTGAGAAGTTCTCCCAACTATAAACATGTCTGAGTAGAGCAGAAATGAATTCCAGTCGTCTGCAGTTCATGGTGGTCAGCGGTTGAAATCTGACGTGGTTCATGAGAAATGGTTGACTGTGTGACTTGGAGACTCTCCCCCCCAATTTGAGGCAACTGTTAACTTTAGTATTTGTCCGTGTATTGTGTGAGACCTCATGGCAGCTCAGTATGCTTTGCCAGCTGGTACTGTTCTCGATACTAAAAAACCAAATACGTAGCATAATACAAGTAAGTGACAACTTGAAGTATTTTGTGCATTGAAATAAGATGGGTGGAGGATAGAAGGGTGCTGGAGGACTCTGCCTTCCAAAAGTGGAAAAGCTATTAAAAAATACTGCTGCACCACTTAAAGGGCAAGAGTGAGAAGAAAACTGTGCACTATAGTAGACAGCATTATATCTGTTTGTAGGCAGTGTCCTCTTTTTCATTCAGTGACAATACTGGTAAACATCAGTCAGTTCAATCTGCAGTTAATGTGTCAGAACTTTAAAAAAACCAAAACTAAAAACCCCACGCTTGAGTCTTCCGACTGTGTGATTGACCGAGCGAGAGTCTGGCAGCCACTCAATTCAGGCAGCTTCTTCTAAGCACACCTGAAAAAATGTCTTAATTTTAGTTAACCCGTGTTGTTAAACACCTGTACGATAAGCTTCTGTTCATCCTGTTCTCCTTCTTACATGTCTGAGGTTTGTTTGTAAAACAAACTATGGAGGACATTGGCAGTGCACTTAAAAAAATGAAATGCTGCAAGGTGACAGATTTTTGAAGAGCCAGTGTTAGTAATGAGAACACGTAATAAAGGGCCAAAATAAAATAAAACATGTTTCAAAATATTTTAGCTTGATGTGAGATCATGTGTTCCAAGTATTTCCTTAATTTTTCTGTGCTATACGGGAGGTTTTTTATTAGCTGGTTTACTCTAGGGAGTTCAGGATTGTTCTAGTGAATAATCTTTTATAAAGGCTGCAGGCAAGACTAGTATAGGAGAGATTTTCAGCAGCTTCTAGATTTTTAAGGATTGCAGTGATGTCAGAGTGTCAGTGTAGGTAATCCTGATGACCTGCAGTACATCTAATGCTGATCTGTGTGAGCTCTTATACCCCAAACAGTAAAACATTTCTCATGAGCTTTGTGGAAATAAAAGCTTTTGTTTTCTGGGAAAATTAGAAGTGCAAGGAGGAGTTGGAAGCTTTCAGAGGCCAAAGGTACTCGGATATGGAACAGGCGATGAACAATAGGGAAGTTCTTAGAACAAGCACGTTTAGGGGAAAAAGTCAGCTCAGGATTTTGGTTCCTGTTTCCATTTTCACTGTTTCCAATCTGTGTTTGGTTTTAATGGTAGATTGAAGTATGTGGTACATGAGCACCTTGTCCAGCTCAGCCTGCTATATATTTTTTTTGTTCTTAGTTTAGCAAGTCACACATAACTTTATTTCATTGAACGTTTCTGGTATCGTACTTCCTTTATTACAAGAGGAAATGTGTTCCTGTTGTGCTTGAAGTTGTTTCATTTCTTTTTCAACCCTGCTTCTGGAAATTCTAGTCTAACCAGGTCAGTAATGCTGTTTTGGTTTTGGCAGCTGGAGAATGGGAAGTGGCTTTGCCAGTGTTGCTTATGCTGAGCTCTGCCAGGTGACACAGCCACCCTTTGACTTGTGTCATGTAAAGATTTCCCTTACTGTTCTGCCAAAGGAGAGATCATCTCACCCTTTCACAAAGCATTCAAGTTATTAGGTTATAAGAGTCATGGATTGTGTCAGGTGAAGTGTAAAATGTTGCAAGTGAAAGTCTGCTATTTTTTTGTAAAAGCAAGTAATTTCTTTTCTTTTTGTCGCAGGTTCTTTAAAGAACTTGAAGCAAGACATCAGAACAACATCTTTATTGATGATATTGGCGATATAGTTGAAAAGCATACTTCCTCAACATTTGATCCGTATGTAAAGTACTGCACCAACGAAGTCTATCAACAGCGAACACTGCAGAAATTACTGTAAGAACTAATTTTAAAATATGATTGCAACATCACCCCCTTTGTAGTAGGGGTGAGCAGTAGGCTGTGGTATTTGGTGCAAAACCTGTGGCTTCCAGCTAAGCGTGTACTTACATGCTTAGCTTTCCTTAATGTACAAGTTCCTTTGAAGTAATTGAGAGTGAAAACATGCCTGGCTGCATAGTCCAATCCTATTTGTGGTCATGAGTTACATTCCCTTTCCACTGATAAGTACGGGTTACTCAGTGTCAAAGATGTCCTTTCATTGTACGTTACATACGAGTCTGCCTGCACGCACGTTCATGTGTGGGACAACTTGAGCTTTCTAAATGTCAATGGTGGTCTTGCATATCTAAGTAAATAAAGCTGAAGGCTTAGTTGATATGACTCCTTCAAACCACACTTTCCTATTAATAAAATCATGATTTATTGAAAGTCTAGCAACTTTCACAATTCTTTGGTAAAACATACCGTTTAATTCTCTCCTCCTTTTTCCTGCCAGAGCCACAAATCCAGCATTTAAAGAGGCGTTATCACGGATCGAGGCCCATGAAGATTGCCGGAATTTACCAATGATCTCTTTCCTCATTCTTCCCATGCAGAGAGTTACTCGTCTTCCCTTACTGATGGATGTAAGAACAGAGCTCTTTTTCTGTTTTCCCTTGATGCATGTCCTTTTAATGTTAGCGTTCTTTTGTATTCAATTCCTAGTTCATTCCAGTCTCTTCGTATCTTCTTACTTGTACCAGGTACAGGGCTGTAGATACTGGTCTGTTGATTATGAAGTACTGTAGCATTTGTTCGCTTACCGTGACCGGTACCCTATGCTCCTGACCCCCTGTTCAAAAATTAAATATTTAGATATTCTAATAGAAAAATTGTAAAGGGTCAAAATGATTCTGAAACCAAGGAGGAACCTAGCACAGAAATTGTATATAACGTTAGGATTAAAATGAAACCCAACAGTTCAAAAAGCAAGACTTCCTATTATATAGATGAGATGCGGGTCCTTTTGCAGTACGTACTTACTTTCAGGAACAGAGCTGTTAAGACCCTCAGTTAAGAGGGTCACAGTGTAACCCTGAAGAATGAACTCTGCTCATAAGGGCACAGGAGCTGTTTGCGAGTGGAGCAGTATTGAACTACTTGGTTTCCTACCACAGTGTTACCCTGTGAGATGTTCCCTTCCTGTGCAGGTTACTGGGCGACTTAGGAAGTGTGATGAAGTGCAGCTGAGGATTTGTGAAGCCAAGTTCACACCAGGATTCATGGTATTTCAGTTAAGGTGCTAGAGCTAAATTTATGAGCTGAACCACCAGCAATAGTGGAGATTAAAATCCAGGCTAAGATTTTAGCATCGGTAGGATCCAGAAATGGGACTAATAGTTTTGTTCTCCTATATATTTGCAAATTGTGCACTGATTAATTTGATTGGTCATCTGGATAGTTACTTAGTTCATTCATGGACGTTGAATGCTCTCTTCTCTGCAGTACATTTCTAGGTTAAAAAAAGAAAGAAAGAATAATCTGGTATTATTTTGGTGTGTCACTAGGTGTGCCTTCCCCTTCTTGGTTTTTTTTTTTTCTTTTCTTCGCCTCCTTCCCCTCTTCAGTTAAAAGAATCTAGACAAGCAAACCAAGTATTTTATTTTCCACTGTTTCAGTTTTGTTTATTTGTTTTTCTTGGAGACGGTCGTGTAAACCTTATATTGAGAATTCAGAGTGAATTGAATTTTTAAGGTTTCAGTACCAGAAATACAGCTCCAACTACATTCAGAGGGGAGAGAACATAATTAAACCAAAGACTAATTTAATGTAAAATATCTTATATTTTTGTTTCTCAATCAAAAAAGCGATTTAACTGCTCTGTCGTTGATTCGAAATGCCTGTTTCTGATAGGACTTCATCTTTACCTCTGGCTCACGAGAATAAACTCTGTCAACAGAGATAACTCTCATGTATAACTCATAGATTGGTTTTACTTCTCATTACTTTCCAGCGCTTCCTCTGTTTCGATGCTGCAGCTGTCTTCTCTTCCACGTGCTTTCTTGTTTTAATAAAATAATATTGTTATGTATATTTTTCCACGGTACACATAACAGTGTAGCCTTAAGAGCCTTTTCTGTTAATCCTTTGGAAATACTTACCTTCCACAAAGAGGTCAGGCAGAGTAATCCGGTACATTTCTCTTATTGCAAGTACGGTTGTACATAAATGGGTCTTTCAACTTCCAGGAAAAGCTTAACGTGGTACTTGAAACAGGAAGAACCTGATAATGTACGGCTGCAGTGGCGTTTCGTTGTGGTTTGTGAAAAGTTTGAGATGAGATGGCAGAAACTTTCCCTTCCCTGGAAGGATATGGCCTGCCTCTTCCACTGGGTTGCCATGGATGGAGGTTGGCCAAGAGATCCAAAACATCACTTTGCTCCAAAAAGCTTTCAAGGGAGGCATTCCTTAGTGTCACGAAGCACTCCGAAGAAGTGATCTAGGGTTCTCTCATTTATCCCAGTCCACAGCTGTGATTTCACCTCTTTGATTTCAATTAATATGTACGTAAAATTCTGTATTTGTTACAATCCGTGCTTCTTAGCCCTCTGAAGTAACTGACCTTTTATTTCAGACAATTTGTCAGAAGACTCCTAAGGATTCACCAAAATATGAGAATTGCAAGCAAGCTCTGAAAGAAGTGAGCAAGGTATGTTCTTTTAGAAGTTTAATATGGATGCAGAATTTTTTTTGCTTTGACTATTTTCCTTCCTAAATTGCACTGCATGCTTTTGTCATTTCAAAAATCCACCGTGAGAAGTGGCTGCTTTTGGTTTTTGTTAGTCACTTGAGAGTTAATTTTCATGTTCACAACTCATTTTGTTCACCTGTTTCATTGTGTAGTTGCACAAGTTTATTCCGTTTGCTGCCAGTCATTCCAACAGAAAGCCATGTGGTGGACCATACAGCTAAGAAAAGCCAAAACACTATCCTGACAGTAGAGAAAAGAAAGTCTGAATCTTCTAAGCAAACCTAAGCATTCTTTTGGCTTTTATTGTAAGTTAGCCAGATCACCTTCTGTCAGTTGTTCTCTTCTCCTGGAGTCATGCTTTTTTCCCAAGAACCGATGATCGAAGAAGAGCACAAGTCCATTTCCATGCATAGATTGTAAATTTCAACAGCGCTTACTTGTATATTAAATTCCAGTTCCTTCCATTTGAACCTGAGCAATCATATTAGCAATTTCTTTTTAAATTGGTGGGAAATTCCAATCCATCTGTTTAATACATTTATATTTATATTCTGGAAATAGACAACTCTTTAAAACAGAGCATTATGGTATGAAAAGAAAAGCTAAGGATCTAAGGACTGGCTGTTTTTTGCCTCCAGGATCTCAGAATTTCAGAAACTGTAGTGCATCATGGACTGTTGTGAAATGCGAAGTACTGGGCATTCTTTATTAAAAAATAATTTTTTTCTCTGCCCGTTGGGGCTAGACATTACCTTGGGCCTTGAACATACTTGTCTACTTTAAGGGAAAAATTTGTGTTTTCCATGCATAAATAATGCAAACAGGAAGAGTATTGGAAGATACTGAAGGATTGTTTTATTTAAGAAAGGCCACTAGGGATCGGTTTTGTGCCTAAATTACTGTCTGTTTATTACATAGGAAAATATCCTAAATTCGGCAACACTGTACTGCTGCCAACACAACTGGGGTTTTCTGTAGGAACAGTATATGGTGTGTAAAGTGTTCGATGATAACAGGAGAAAAGGGCCGTTGACAGTTGGGAAATCCCTGCATGATGTTGCGGGGTTAAGGGGAATGCATTTTCATGCCTTTCCGTCTTTGCCCCCCTGTTTTTATTTATGTGCTCCCCACCCCCATGCGCAGGCTTCACTAAAACTGTAGCATGCTTTAAAATTGCATTCTAAAGGTCAGCTGCAACAGAACTTTTTCTAGGATACTGTTTGCCTTAGTTTAACAAGGCGGTACTGTAACGTTTGTGATGGGACTTTATTCTGCGAATGGGTTGGGTGTGCGTGGTAGACGTGGCAGCAGGTCGCACTGATGTGTCGCTCTGGAAGGTTGTTTATTTTGGAGCTGATCATTAACTTGGATCAGAGAGCTGTAACCCTTCTCAGTCAGAACTTCTGGCTGAACGTTTGTACCATCTGGAGTCGAGTCCACTGAGGAATAAATAATGTTCATAGTATGATAGGGTAATTCAGGTTGAGGGGGCTCTCAGGAGGTGATCTAGTCCAGAATCGGCTGCCAAGTCAGACCAGGTCACTCAGGGCTGCATTCAGTCTGGTCTTGAAAACATTACCTCTGTGACCCAGCGTGAAAATGTCGGCTCCTTTGTAAATTTTACGCTTCCTCGGAAGTGCATTTTATACAGTAACGAGTTTATTGCAAGTCTTGAGTACATTAAACCTGTTAAATAAATGTCTCGTTTCTAGCTGGTGCGTTTATGCAACGAAGGTGCTCGGAAAATGGAAAGGACAGAAATGATGTACACAATTAACTCCCAACTGGAATTTAAAATCAAGGTACGATGATGATATTTCTGACCATAAATCACTGAGCATATGAACAGCTTTGAGTACATGTTATGTTGTGATAGGTTCATTGCCAACACAAACAAGGTAAATTAGTGTAGGCTGTCGTATCGACGTGACTTTTCAGTCAAGGAAGACAAGCTCATATCCTGGGGTAGCTGAAGCCCTGGAAGCTCAGAGTGCCTGAGGACTGTCACATCTAACCCAGCAGGTTAAGCTTCAGGTTGAGGCTTTTCAGGGAAAGA